TGTATTCCTCCTGCAGGATGCTCCAGGGAAAACTCAATGCTCACACGAAACTGTCGACCTTCTGAACATCATTAACAAAAACATCCAAATCAATTATCAGTCAGTTACATCGTGTTGGGACTGGCAAGGCTAGGATGTTTTGGGGAGTGAAAAATGTCATAAATTTTGGAAGAAAAAAATGTACAAGAGAGAATAAAGTTCTTCATCTCTTCTAATTCTACTAGATGGATATTTCCAAACAAAAAATGGAGACTGAAATGGTATGAACAGTATAAAGATTACTTAATGTGTTTACGAGACTCAAAGGTCAAAAGATAAAACTTGCAAGGTTCTTCCCATTTGCTGAGTATTGTTGTTCAAAATCTAGCTATATAATTAGTAATTGTTGGGTTTGCTATGATCAAGGACATGTTTTTATATCGTCTTAACGTAATGTGCATTTCTAGAAAATATCCATACCTACCCCAAGGAAAGTTAATGGAAATTCCAATGGGGAGAGGGGTTTCAAAAGCCCAATTTTTTAAAGGAAATTATGACTCTAAAATGGAATTTCTGGAGGGGTGAGGGGGTTCAAGCTACAAAACTTTCCATGGGAGGGGTATGGATATTTTCTGGAACAACACAATAACAGCATGATCTTCTTACCATGTGCACATCCCAAGACTTCCTTTGGAATTCTTATTGTAAGTTCTCCACCACCAGTCTCAGGATCTACAGCATTGACAGCACTCTGCATGCATGTTAAGAAATGATCCAGGTTCCTCCTGTGTGAGATAAGAAACAAATGGAGAAATTTTTCATACCTGCTACATGCAAAATCAACGACATCCCTGATACAATACATTAGTATCCCACACAGCAACCATGTAAAACAGTTTTGTAGCATTTTTCAATTTGCGTTTACCTAAATGATGATCTGACTGTGTTTAAATAAAGACTGCTGTAAGTGGAATAGACTAACCAACTGACCAATTGATTGGTTGATAAATCATTAAGAATCTTAGCGGTAATATTTCCATTCATCAGCAAATAATGTATTGCCACGTTAAAAATAATATTAATTTATAATTTGTTTAGTTAATTTACTTAATCAGTCCAATTTGGCATAGCCATCAGAAAGTTGTCAAAAATAAATAACAAAATGTTGGCAATTAAAAAAATATTGATGAATGTCTGCTAACTTTTCTTAGCTATGAAGACTTTTTTGGTTATTAAGTCAGTAAATTTGTCACAGTGCTTTACAGTACACAAATTTTACACAAATTTTACTGTGAGCATACTTCTTGTTATCTGTACATATAACTTTGCCTGGATCATCCAGTTGAAATCCAGCATCGTACCAGTCCTGCTCTCCTGTTTTTCTTTCATCGCGGATACAGACTCGCATGATTCATACATAAAGTCAAGGAACAAAGTTACAACAACTGTGTTGAAACCCCAATACAATACAACAGTACTTTATCAATAGATGGATTCAGAGAAAGTGTTTACATCCTTACAGCCATCTCAATTCAGATCATGTGATGATTCATTTGGGAGGTTACAATTGTTCTATTTGTACATACTCCCATGCAATCAGTTATGTGTAACAAATGACACAATTGTTACCTCCCAAATGAATCATCACATGGGTCTGAATTTGGGAGGCAGCAGGGATGTAAACATGTGTATTAGTTAAGGTACGGATAAAATTCAAAAGATATTGCATTGTTTGGAGTTCAGTTTCAATCTTGTTAGGTTGCTTGTCAAAGGAAGGATTCTTAGTTCCACATATCCCTGCAAAATGTACAAAATTTGATTAGTAACTGGCACAGTGTGATGCTGGTGACTGATCAGCGAGGTGCTTATTGTGGGTCTGCTAAATCTGCGAGCCAGTGAGCCATGCGAGCCACGGTGCGAGCCATGCGAGTCATGCGAGTCATGCGAGTCATGCGAGCCATTTTTGCGAGTATTTTTTTTTCAATTGGTCTGGGAGGTCGTCAACTTTTCACCAAGAAATATAGATCTCGCGCCCGACTATCACTAAACTATCGCTATAAACCGCCCGCCCACCATCTTGAAAGCGGAGATGACCCTGGGGACGAGTACAACCTCGCGCCCAGGGTACTCTCTCTTTCCCTGGGAATTTAATTTTAAAGTTAGCTACAAAAGTGCCTACAATTGAAATATTCCCAAAAGAAAATCCTAATCTCGCTT